TGTTCCCACGAGTAAGATGAGGATTTAAGAGGGTCCACCCGTAACCTCTTTCCGGGTAAGGCTATATTAACTCTGGGAGGGCGCCTGGTATCCCAGGGCTCCGTAGGTCGACACCAACATAAGCACCCTGGTGCCAAGGGACCCGATGGGCACGGTTCGCATAACACCCCGGGTTGGGCTTTTCATTAAGTACTCCTTGGCACATAGAGTGTGCGTCCAGAGTAACTCGGGAAAGGAGGTGCGTCAATACCCCAGACCATAGGCAGTCCTCCCTGCAGATTTATTATTATTATTATTATTATTATTATTATTATTATTATTATTATTATTATTATTATACATAACAGAAGTACTTTTCTCACAAAAATACGTTTGTGGAAAGAAACTCATTGAAAGACGGACCGTAGCCAAGTCTTCCAAAGCTAGAGCCTTTGAAAATTGCTAAAATTTGATTTAAAGTTACTAAAATTTGACTTAAAATTACTAAAATTTGACTAAAACATGCTAAAATTTGAATGTTAAAATCGTAAAACGTTGTTAAAAATTTTTAAACAAAATTGTTAAAATAAAAGAGCATAAACCATAGATTAGCAGTCGGTCACATAAGTAAAAATAAAAATACAGTCACTGCCCTGAGTTTAAGAAAGATCTAGTGATAATACAGGTGTGCAGGATAACAGCTTTCTGGCTTTGGGTGTGAACGTTTTCACCTAAGTGGAGCTGCTTCAGACGTCTCAGGAAAGAATGAGGAGTGATCCCCGCGACGGATATTATAAACTAGCGAAATGCCCGTGACTGGAGTCACGGGTCTAGAAGCCGCTAAAATATCTATAACCCCGAAAAAATGGTGGTAGGGGAGCAAGACATGCCATAAAAAAATGATAGAATCGATAGAAAAATGAGTTGACGGGGGAGGGTGATGGAGCAAGAAAATTGAGCTGGGGGGGGGGAGGTAGAATATGCTGACAAAAAAATTAAAACTAACCTAGCAATGATTTTTTAACAGAAAAAATGAAAAAATGAACAAAAGAAATTGGGAAAAAACATCAGCTGATAGCAAACAAAGGTTACCAAGGAAACCAAGGTATGGAACTTTCATAAAAACAGTTTAGTGGAAAACAGCGTAAGTAGGGCACTTACGTTAATTACCGTTTATAAGTAAACGGTAAATGCGATTTAACCGAAAATCTATACAGTTCTTCATCAGATCAAAATGGACAAAATTACAAAATTTGAGACAGCTAACGTAAATCTAACGGTAGTTATCGTGAACGAAAGAATTGCTGACATAGATCCGGTAACTATTATAGGTGGGATGGGATGGTACAATCATTACTTCTTTAAGCTTCCACAGTCGCTGTATTTCAGTTGCAGATACTTTTCGATCTTATCTCTATACTTAGCATCTACATTGGCATCAGCAGGGACTGAGATATCCATTAGGTGAGCAATGCCCTGATTTTTATCTAGAAGGACCATATCTGGCCTATTGTGCGGGATGGTCTTGTCGGTATGGTCGGGATGGTCTTGTCAAAAAAAGGGAAAGAATGGCACAGTGTCATAAAGCCAACAATATGTTAGATTTTAAAATGCCTACTGAATGGAGAGACCTTGATATTTATTTCCAACGATTAGAATCATGCATGAGAGAAAAAGGTTTTTCAGATAGTGATGTGAGAGCTGGTCTTCGTTTAACGGCGAATACAGAAGTCACTAAATGGTTCGATGACATGGATATGATATATAATACGTTACATATGATATACGTTACATATGATACGTTATATATGATTACGTTTTATATGGATAAATTACATATAAGATACCAAATTTTCTACCACCGAAAACAGAAGCCTGACGAGAGTGTCCTTACATATATAAGAGATAAGATTGAGCTATTTATCTGGCTGGAAAAGGGCAAAGAAGATGAAGAGTGGGCGTTTCAGTTGGAAAAAATAAAAACATTTGATGGCGGTTTACCTGAGGCAATCATGGCTAGTATTATACCAGAAGTTTGGACTTATTTGGCTCAATATATACCATACGAGGATTTTGAAGACCTCTTTTGGCAATATTATCGTGAAATTTTGCAGGATGTATCCAATTGGGTCATAGAGAATTCTTTTGAGTTTGCAAATCAGCTGGATAACAATATTGGAAACATGGGTACTGTACACAGTTCTCCTAAACAGGAAATGGTTGTTGTAGGATCTATATCAGCGGACGAAAAAATCAGTGCTGAGCCGAAGATTCAGAATGAGAGTGCCGTTGCCATGGAAATTGTTAGAGGAGATGATAATACGCATGAAATAGAAGTTTTAAATCAAAATATCAGTGATTGTCAAAGGGCGCAAAAAAATGTTACGCCAGCAGTGCCTGTTGAGAGTAATTGTACCGATTATTATGACTTAGATGCAGAATTGAAATCTATTTTTGGCAGTTCACATGAGATATGTTGTCCAGATACTGTTGAGAGTGATTATACCGATCATCATGATTCAGATGTTAAGTTGGGATCTACTTTTATGCGACCCACAGGAGTTCTGTCAGGACGTTCTTCATGCAGTAACAGTAAGTGTTGCTCCGGCTGTTGATAATAATTTTACTAATTTTTATAATTTAGATGTAGAGTTGGAGTCTTATTTTAGCATTCAAAGTGAGTTTGTTAAGGAAAATGTCGATCAGGAATCTACGGTTCTCAAAAACAAGGTAAGTGCGGTGTACGACGAACTTGACCGTGAATCTTTCGAGGAAGGTAGTAGCGAGACTGGTGCAGGTTGCGTTGTTATTGTTTACAAAAAATTCGAGTTGAACTGGGTCCGTCAGAAAACTCATACGGAAAATGCGCGCAGTAAGCAAGAATTGGGGCACAGCAACGCCAAATGTATAAATGTTATCGTTTTATCAAACGCAAAACTTCGTGGACATTTCAGATGGCGAATTTGGTTTTTCAAGCAGAGGACGGGTTCATTTTCTTGTCAATACATACGGAACTGGAAAGTCAAGAAAAAGTCGGGTCGAGGGAACCAGTCAGCTTCGAAAATCTCATAATTTTAAAATGATTTTATGTGCGTACTCGCATACTTTACAAATATAATTATTCTGGACACAGAACTTTTCTTCAGAACTTCAAGTTCCCTCTATACAATTTTTTTTTGTTTGTTTTGTAATTGGAAAATGGAATTCCAAAAATGGGAAAAATATAAATTTTTTTAAAAAAAAAACACACATTTTGAAAAGAGAAAAATGGAAAAAAAAGACAAAAAAGGAATATTTTGCGTTCCACTTCTATCGGTTTTTTTTCGACTTTTTACCGTCTTAAAAATCGGACAGTCTTTGTGAGTTTCGTCTGATACGAAATTTCTCTGGAGAACTAACGTCTAAGGTCAGATGAGAGCGGCGTTCATAATTTTGTTTTGCTATCGGTTTTTTTTTCGACTTTTTACCGTCTTAAAAAATCGGACAGTTTTTGCCGCCTGTTTTGTCTGATACAAAATGGTGGTGGTGGATGGCGTCGAGTCTACTCGATCCCCCTCATCCGTTTAATGGGTGATTTAAAGTTTTTTTATTAGGTATTTTGTTGTGTTTTACTGTAGGTATTTATATGGGAATTTTAGATTTTTTTTAAAAAAAAGCGTTCGTAAGAAAATTGTAAATTATTGTAAATAACATGCTCTGAGCAAAAGTATTAAGATTTCTATATTGCACATTATTCTGACAATTAAAATTTCCATTAATTTAAATATTCTTATTTGAATCTAAATAGTTAATAATGATATTAATATGTGCGCTCAAAGATGAAAATCAGGTTTTTAGAAAACTAGAAGTACACTTATAATCTTAATCAATTTTATATTTATAATAGGTGAATTTATATTTTTTTTTTTAAAAAAAAAAGAAAATCAGTAATTGGATGAAAATTACCATAATTGTTTAAACTAATATTACCATATTTTTTTTTTGTTTGTCCATGTTGCCAGGCGGGTTTTGTTCTGACGGCTTGACCATCCCTGAGACGCAGCGTTGAGGTAGCAGCATTCGGGGGAGTCCAGAGGAGGACGTGCTTGATCCTTCCGCCGTCGCATTGCCGGCCGACCAGTGTCTCATGACGGATGTCCATGTCTCATTCCTGGATGTCTAAAAGCACAGGCCTCATACCCCGCGTCCAAGCAACGACCACTCAAGGACATCGTCGGACATTTGTGACCTTGCACCATTCACCAAGGCAAGGGGCGTTGACGAATTGCGGAGCAGCGCACCACCATCCGCACCCGGTGATTTGCGAGGGTTGGTGGGGCATCTTGGAACCTTGGTACCGCTAACCTACGCTTGGCACCATCTCCCGGTATGCAACGTGCCTACCTATGGAACCTACGCTTGGCACCATCTCCCGGTATGGAACGTGACTACCTATGGTAACCTACGCTTGGCACCATCTCCCGGTATGGAACGTGACTACCTATGGAACCTACGCTTGGCACCATCTCCCGGTATGGAACGTGCCTACCTATGGTAACCTACGCTTGGCGCCATCTCCCGGTATGGAACGCATCTAAGTACCTCTGGATAGCTCACTCTTGGAAACATCAGGGCAGGGGACGTAGCTCGGGTGAGCCACTCGCTTCAGTCACTTCGTGCACATGATGGCAGGGATCGGCACAGCCTCCGGCAGGACTCTCGGACGATGCAAGCAGGCGGCTACGCGAGGATGGGACAGCTGGATGGTCAATCTCGAGGAACAGGAATCGGTCATGGCAGCACTTAAAAAGTTTTTTGGAAAGTTTTTTTTTGTTGAAAGTTTTGTCTTGTAATTAGTTGTAAAATTGTTTATTTTAATTATTCTGAAGGAAAAGAGGGAATGAGAGAAAAGTAGAGAGAGAAAGAGATCTTTTAGGAAGGACTGATTTCGACCAGGTGGTTCTCAAGCTTATCCCTGATGTATTTGTTTCTGTCGCTAAAGTGCGTCTCATCTAGACCTGAGTTAAGTTGAGAGAGTGGAGTTGTGTCATTTTTTTTCGTTTTTTGGTAGCGAGAGGGGATGTTGTGGGAACGCTTAAGTCTTTACAGGCTTAAGTTCCCCACATTCGACTCCATAGACGAGGCGTGCTTCGCGTCATGGCTTTTCGTGAGAAATCGCGGATTTCCAGGGCCAGCGATAGAAATAGGTCCGTCGGAAGTTGGCGCTTGTTTATGTCTAAACGTGAAGCTTCAGTGTCGTGGAAGTGCACACATTTTGACATAAAAAGATTCGGTGATCGCATGGGCGAGATCAGTCGCGAGGAATAGATTCCCGGATGGTCCGGTCAGTCCCCCCGTGAGAGGCCAGTCAAGTTTTAGAATTGTCAGTTTTCAGAGTGTTTTGTTGATGTAAGATTTTATTGTGATTATTATATGTTATACGAGAGTTATATGTGGTCCGTGTCATTTTCCTGACCCCCCGGCAACAGAATGTTCATTCATTCGTTCGTGCATTTGTCCGTTCGTTCGATCGTTTGTTTGTTTGTTTGTTTGTTTGTTTGTTCGTTCGTCCGTTCGTTCGTTCGTTCGTTCGTTCGTTCGTTCGTTCGTTCGTTCGTTCGTTCGTTCGTTCGTTCGTTCGTTCGTTCGTGCGTTCGTTCGTTCGTGCGTTCGTTCGTTCGATTGTTCGTACTTTCAATCGTTCGTTCATTCATTTGTTCATACCCATCAATCACTTGTTGATCTTTTATTTAATTTTGAATGTAAGTTAGACCTTAAAAAGCTAAAGTTCAAAATTAAATTTGTAAAAGAACGTAGATTAATTCAACATCGAAATCGTTTTCTATCTTTCATAGCTGTGTATATGTAGGTCTTTTAATCTGAGCGCTGTCTCACCCACTTTCAACTTGTATATTTGTTGAAAGTTAAAGTTATGTTTACTTGTAGATGTTTCTAGAATACAGATTTCATCCGCTCTTGGCATTAGCGTGTTATGTCCTTAATCTTTGCGTTTTCTTTCTTTTCTCCGCACCCCAAATAATTAATGATGTGATGGTTTTTATATTAATTTCAACTGTACTTTAAAGAAATATTATCATCTACTAACTGCATCCTTCTAAATCACCTATAAATGATTTGTACAATCAAATGCATTCTTTTTATTTTCTTTTTACTCGATTCCTTTTTGATTATGAAATATGATTATACCGTTTTCTTTCTTAGAAGAAACAAGCTAAGGTTTTCCAAAAATTCCAAAGATAAATCTTCTGTTGTTGTCCCGGTTAATTCTTATAGTATTCAAATTTCTTCTATGCGGTATACCATATTTTACTAGATATTCATTAAAACTTTTCAAACTTATTTTATATCTATCTCTGAAAAAATTGGATTGCATTTTACAAAAAGGAACCAAGAGCATTCCAGTGTGTTGCGAAGATTGTGCGCCTTACGTTCCTTGTGATAAAATTATTGAACCTTGCAAAAAATTAAATTCACAAAGATAATTTTCGAATTGAATTTATAGTTTATTGGGAGTAAAGATAAAACTTGTTCAGATGATCAGTTTTTATTTGCATGGTAAAAATAGCTGCACAATCTTAGCGACATTGGAATGCTTGTGGTTCTTTTTCGCAAAATGCAATCCAATTTTTTGTTCCATTTATGAAATCATATTCCCTCATCAATTTGATTAATGATAACCTGATCAAATATTAATTTAATCATAAAAAAAATCGATAATGGTTTTATAACTTCTAAATTGATAATGGTAAATTGTAAATGGAATGGAAAATGGTAAGGGATATTGTAAAATGGAATGGAAGGTGGTAAAGGTTAATGGTAAAAAAATGGAAAATTTTAAACATAAAAATGGCAAATGAAACATCACCAGTTAATTACATTAACTTCAACTATCAATTCATTCAGCACAGATGTAAAAGAGATGATAAGTTTTAATTTGGAAAATTTAAAACATTATTATGAAGATGAGTCAGCATCAGATAGGTATTGCTAAATCATATGAACCTAATACAAGAATTTCATAAAGGAATGAATGAAAAAAATTTTGATGATGAAACTTAACAAAATTTTAGAAAACTGGTTACCTAATGCAATTTTTGCTCCTGCATGTGAAGCAAGGTGTCATTAATATAAACTTTTTTTTTCTATTGTTTAATGGCTTTGTGACTAAGCACCTGCAGCCAATAATATAAACTTCGAAGGATTCAGACTTTCAGCGATTCCACATTTTTCTATTTCACTCGAGAGGTTGCACATTGTGCGATAAATGTGAATATTTTACATGGATTTGAATTGGGAAAAGTGCTAAAAAAGCAACTTATGTGGCAACAATAGAGTCCGGAAGGGACGAGAGGCTGCCTTCCTAGGAAAACCCATGATTTAGCCGAAAATGCCATTAAAACAATTGATTCCGTTTGAAACATCAATTATATACTAGGGGAAAGCTATTTTAAAATAATAATTGTGAATGGACACAGATGCTACAGAAAGGGAAAAAGGAAAGAGAAAGGAAATGAAATGAGGATATAATTACTAATATGCAATCAGAGAGAATAAAACAAAAACATCAGAGAAATTTATATGCGATGAAAGTATAAGAAAAAAACACGAGTAGGCTCATTGCGATTCGGAACTCGAACTATACTATCGTTGAGCAGTTTTTAGACCCCCTACGCCACCGATAATCTTCTTAAGAGGTAAAGATAAACTTTTGCTACTTCATGCAGCAAGTCAAATCACGGAAGGAGATCCATGGATTGTCTTTTTCCGCCACCCGACAGGATGACGTCCCAGTCAAATGCGTTTTTGAAGAAATGATCGATCCCCATCATCGCTTCATCTCCACACATCTATTCATGTGCAAATGATGGCGCGCTCCGGCAACAAGGTTCTGTGACGAAATCATCTTTGCCTCCAGGTCTCCAAAATGTATACATCTTAGTGATCAAATGTCCAATCACTGAGAAAAATGGCTCGCGGAGCGAGCCGAATGGCACTCGCGTAGCGAGTGATCGGGGGTNGTGATCGGGGGTCCAGGGGGCGCAGCCCTTTGGCTAGCCGTGACGTACGCGTAAAGCGCGTCCAGAGCGGCTAGTAATATATTAGAGTACCTGTATAGCGAGAGTATGGACACAGGCCCCGACTTAGGGCGTGTGCAGAGCGTGCGGCGCACACGGGCGCCAGCCTTTGGGGGGCGCCACGAAAGGAGAAGAGAGGAAAAAAAGGGGGAAAAGGAGAAGGAAAAGAAGGGAAGAAAGGAAGAGGGGAAGAAAGGAAGAGGGGAAAAAAGGAAAAGGAAACAAGGTTGGGCAGTGAAAGCAAGGAAGAAGAGGAAAATGGAAGGGAAAAGGAGGCAAGAAAAGTGAAAAGAGAGTCCGCGAGAAAGGGGGGGGGGCATAAAAACCATAGACAAAATATAAAGAGAATTGCCGTCTAAAGGTAAATTTTCAGGACAAAAACTCCACCTGGTCCATAGACGGTCAGGAACACTTGACCCTAAATTTGCGGCTGTGCAGAAATACAAGAGTAAGCATGAAGTAAGGGGACGCCATAAACTATGCACTGTTTTAAGCAGGCGCTAAGCGCCCCCTCCCCCTTACACCACGTTTTCCGAGAATTAGTGGACGCCGGCCGCCTCCCCATACGCGTCTCAGTCCATGTCGCTAGATTATGCAGCTCCGCCAACAGCCTATATCGAATTTGACGCGGCGCACGGTGTTCGATATGTTTCCCGCAATAAAAAGTGAACGGGCACTGCTGCCGGCGTAATTTACATTTATAGGGAAATGTAACTTTCAGGACCATGGGCGTACGAAGGAGGGGGGCCGCCCCCTCTTAGAATTGAAAATAGTATTAGAAGCCCCCCCCCCAGAAAGTCTAGATGGTGGGAAAAACTTTCGTCAAGGATGATCATCTCTTTTAATCACGGAAAAAAAAGTCCTGTCATTTTAATCGTCGCGACTGCTGAAGGAACAGCCCTTGGCTGTTAAAAAACGGCACAGCATCCTGGTTGTTAAAATAACATTACCTTTGTCTGTTATTACACCAGGCGCTTTGCTGTCACATTGACAGTAAATGAATGTGACAACGACAGCAAAATCTGCTCAACCTTCATCGAATAGTCTGTTACACTGGCAGCGCAGCTGCTGGCGTAAACGCCGGTTCCCCATCAGATTGACGTTCACGCTGCCTTCGATTTAACAGCGGCCGCTGCTGTCGAAATAGCAGCGTCGCTGTTCTCATGACAGCCAGTTCGTTTTTGAATTTAAATCCACGCTGCTGTCGATGTAGCAGCGCTGCTGCTCATGTAAAAGCTAAATCGCTCTTGAATTTTCATTCACACTGCTGTTAATGTAGCAGATACAATGCCAAGCAACTGTGAAAAATTATGGTCATACTTACATGCTTATGTAAATAGCTGATAACTGCTTAACTGGTTTCAAGTATAAATGATACAAAAACCGTAGATAATATTCCGGTCAAAGTAACATTTACAGACTAAATCAGTTTCACAATGAGTTAATTTCACAAAAATTTTAACAGTTTAAATGCACAGAAACACTACACAAAGTAAACATCTTTGCAGTTCTCGGTGGGGCAGAATTGATCATGGCCTTGGGGGCAACAAATTATGTGAGGCACATTTTAAACCCTTCCTCTCCATCCGTTATTTTCTTTTTTCAAATAACCGAACTTTTCACTCGCAGCCTGGTCAGATACCGCACAGACACTGTATTACACATTGAAACACTTTACGCCATTAAGACAATGTCACGTTGGCATCATCAATAAAAACAACGTAAGAACCAAACAGCAGATCGTGCTTATGAGTTAAAAACACCGAAAATGTATTATAAAAGGTTTCAAAAAATTCTACCAAGATTAAGATTTGCTAAATTATCACTTCATTTCATTTCAATTAGCCTAAATTTCTTTGAACGAAAGAAAAGGAAAAAATTACACAATGGAATTGGGTCGGAAAGTATAGAGGACAGGGCTAATGGTATAATCTACAGGAAACGAAATCAAAAGAGTGCCTGCATATAAATATGTAAGGCACGCTAAAAATAATAATTTGATGCACTGGACGCAAACCTAATTGAGTTGAGAGTGCGTGTAATGTCGATGGTGAAGTTGAAACCAAAAAGCACAAATATACGGAAAGCACAAATATAGCAGAAATTTCGAATTGAACGGATTCATGATGATGCCTCAAAAAATGGCGTCTGCCCGCAACTGATTACAGTGTGCTCAAATTTGCTTATATCGTAAGAGTTACTTTCCTATGGAGCTACTAATTTTGCAGATCGCGCACTGAGTATCAAAACTAATCACTTTCTTCGCCAAAATTCACTCGCAAACACAATTTGAGCACGATTTCGAAACGCAAGCGCAAGACTTCTCTGACTCAAAACCACTGACTGTTGAGCAAACGAAATCCCTTTAAACAATGACATGGCGGCCTCTCAGCGAACAGACTGGAATGCGGGAACAACGCCGAAGGAAGAAACAACCGAACGCCAGGCCCGGGCGGTTGGAGTTCTGAGAATTTCCCTGACCGGGCCCTTTGTCAGGACGGCGCGCAACCCTCGAGAAGGAGGGTGGGCAGTGTGGCGGGTAGGGTAGGAGAGGTTTTCTGCGTCACCGCTCGCAGCGGGGCGATCGACAACTGTCTACAACTGCGCATGCGCGCTGCGCCGATCGCGCGGGACTGGCCGGGATGGAATGCTCCGTGCAACGGACAGCATTTTACTGTCAACTCGCTGTTAAATGAGAGGCTGCTATTTCGACACCCTCGCTGTTGCTTTAGCAGATTATTTCTGCAAATTTATCGACCTTCAAAACATTAGACCAACACCTGCACGAGTGTAAATTTAAAATCCAAACGAATGTCAAAATAACGTGTGGACTGTAAAATCAAAAGTCAATGACAGTCATTCCAAAAGCTTCAGGAACTGTTGATTTAATGACTGCGCTTGACGTTAACTCAGCAGTCGTGTGATGATGGAATAACATACAGAATGTTATTTCAAAAGCATCAATAAGATGTTGAGCTAACAGAGTTGCACACTTTTGTTTCAACATACTTAAAATGTTAAACTATCAGTCGCGACAACTAAAAGAACAGAG